GGTTCCTGCGCTCACAGCGGCGCAGCCAATAGGAGGGCGCCTTGCATCGCCGTGCACCGCGCTGCCGCTTGTTAGGCGCGCCGCCATTCGCCGCGGCCCCGGCCCCTGCTACGTGCCCTCAGATAACCCTCCCGCGCCCCCCGCAACAGGCGCAGGCGGCACGGGGCGCCCCCGCGGCGGCGGGAGGGGGGCAGGCGGGGCAGGGGGATGGCGACCACCCCCCTCCCCGCCCTGACCGGCTCCCCTCGGCACTGGCGGCTCCCCCACGGCCGACACCGGCCCCGTTACCACAAGCACTACACGCGCCCCCCGGCCCGATCCGCCAGCGCGGCCCAGCGGGCGCTGCCCGGCGCGGGACGGTGCGAGCGGGAGGGTTAACGTTTCAGGGGAGGGCTGAGGGGGCCCGCGGCGCTCACCAGGTCCTCGAAGCTCCTGCGATGCTCCTTGCCCTGCCAGTCCAGGCGCCGCGGGATCAGCTGCGGGAGGCGACGGGGAGGAGGAACCGGGCGGGGGGGGGGGGGGGGGGGGGGGGCGGTTGGGGACAGCGGTCAGACCCCGGCCGGAGCCCGCGAGCAACGAGCCCTCCTCGAGGGGCGACGGGACGGGACAGGCACCTCTCCCCCCCGGCAATGACACGTCCCCCCGGGGCAGCCCTGGGCCGGGGGTCYCTTCCTCCCCCCGCGGGGGCTCCGGGATGGGCTGGGTTAGACGGGGCAGGGCCACCCCCCGCTCCCCAAACCGCCCCCCTCTCCCCGCAGGCGCCGTCCACCCCCCCCACCCCGGCCGCCCAGGGCTCCCCGCGGCCCCGCTCGGGTGTCCGCGCAGCCCCGCGCCGGCGGCCGCCCTACCTGGTGCTCCTCGAGCTCCTCCACGAGCACCTGCGGAGAGAGGCGCAGCGCGCGCGCACACAAAGGACGTGAGCCCCGCGGCCGCCGCCCGCTCCCGCCGCCGCCCCCCGCCCCGGCCCCCCGCCCGGGCCCCGGCTTCACCTGCGCGGATCTCTTGCACGGTCCGGACTGCAGGAACCGGGCGATCAGGTAGTAGAGCTCTGCGGGGAGGGCGGCGGGCAGAGGGGGACACGGTTACCTCAGCGCGCGGAGGGGACGGGGGGCGGTCGGGGGGGGGGGTGTCGGCGAGGGAGGGGGGCAGCCCCCGCCGCCGGCCATACCCACCGGCTTCGAGCTGGCTCGGGGCGGCCGCTGTCGCCATCCTCCTCCTCGGGAGGCCCGCGGGGGAGGGCGGAGGTGGCGGCTGTCGCCGCGGGGCGAAGGCGCCCTCAGTGCGGCCGAGCCCCCCGTGGGGAGCCGCGGTGCGTGTGCGCGGCGCTGGCCCCGCTCCGCCGCCCGCCCGGCTTCATGGTGGCATCGCCGGTCGCCCCATAGATATCCCGGCCCGAGCGGCAGGAGCGCAGCCGGGTTGCAGCGCGCGCCGCCCGCCGCGCGGGGGCGATGCGCGCGAGAGCGCCGCGGGGGAAGCGCCGCCGCGGGAAGGAAGCGCCGCGGCGGAAGGAAGCGGGGCCCGAGCGCTGAGGGCGGCGCGGGGGCGACGCCGCCGCTTCCGGCCGCCGCCWCGGTGGCGCCGCGGCCGCCCCGGCGGGCGCTTCCCGCCGCGCCGCCATTACGCGAGCCCGGCGGCCGCGGCCCCTCAGGGCAGTCCCGGGCGGAAATAAAAATGGGAGTTTGTGCTGCTTTTCTCAAACTATTACAATCTGCGCGCTCATTTGAGGGAAATATGACCGGAATCCCTAAGTCTGCGGCAAAACAAAACCAAATCACCTCAAGTTCTGTTTCCTGAAAGCAGGCAGGCAGCTAGGCCGGGTTTASAGATCTGTCAACATCCCTTAAAAAAGGCCTAAGCCTAAGAGGTCAGGGCAAGTGCACGCAGTTTTATTAAGGACAGTCTATTTATGGTAATACAMCCAACGTTTCAGGTGAGAAAAACAAAGAAAAAGCACATTCACAAGTTCTGTCTGTGAAACTGCTTGGTCAGAAAAAGAATATTTTTGGTATCCTGCCAGTGTGGGTAAAGCTGGTGGAGGCAGAATGACACAGCGTGGAGACAAGGCATTTGCCTGTAAGTGTCYTCCTGCGTAGGGGTCCGAAGCAGCTACATGGCACCTGGAGGTAGCTGGGAGCGTTGGGGTGCCYGTTTTTTATCAGTGCAAGTGAAAGTGGTACCCCAAAGGCCCCCAAATGTAGGACATGGGGTGGCTGTAGCAGCCAAATTACATCCCAGTGTCCAGGAAATAAAAATCGTGATTAATCATTAAAATATGATTCACCCTTCAAAGAGAAGGGTACAACATCAATCACAGGGATGCTCTTAAGGGTAACACGTAATTTTTCCTGTAGGAAGCGTGTTGTTGGAGCATGGGAAATTTATTTTACTTTAGCAATGCTAAAACATATTAAGTGAGTTGACAGAGTTCTTTATATTTTGCCACCATAAATATCTGGCACTCTGTTAGAATTTCTTGARCAGTGCTCTGAGAGTTGGCCTTGGCAGCGTATCAGTTCCTGTCATAACTGGAAAATAAAGCAAGGCAACTCATCTTCATGCTTTGAATACCAAAAGCTGAATCATAGTGAACKGATGCCATTGAAACATTAAGAATAGGCTCATTTTTTTTTAGCATAGCTTTATAGCTTGTAAGCATAACTAGACGTTTTGTGCATCTTCAGAGTTTTTCCTGCTCTTACTGTCAGGATATTAGTCCTTGCTGCTGTCTTCTGGTTTCAGCACACCAAGACCAGGTCTCATTAGCTCTCTTGGGCAGGAGTCAGATATATGACATTCAGTTGATCTGCAGAATTYACCTATATTTTGGTATAGATGGAGAAGAAATGTGTTTGTGGCAGGAGCTTGAATTTGCTGGCTGCGATATCTCACTTCATCTTTGCCCTCTCAGGTTCTTGCTCTGCTAATAAAAGAGTTTAAATAACCAAATCCAGCTTAAATAACCCAAAATGCTGCCTTTCCAGAGTTGCACAGGAGCCTTTGAKGTTACAATATTGGCACTTCCTGTGAGAGATCAAATGCAAAATTAAAGTCCTGAAAACAAATTACCAGTTAGTAAAAGAGTGTTGTGATATCTTTATCTGCAGAGAGATAATATTCCTCCCTCCTTTTCCACTGATAGTTGCAAGCTCATCTTTTTATGCATACCAGGAACACAAATGAAAAAAAAAATAGATAATATGTTATGAAATGGCTTGAAAAGTATGTGTCAGTCTTCCTGAGATAAATATGATTCTGTGTCAGGTGGAAATGCCACACCATAAATATTATATAGCATCATATCTTGGCATGGTCCCGTGGTAGCTGTTACCTGATATATTTCTTCTTAATACGACATGTTTCCTTGGCACCTCTTGGTTGGTGCCTTCTTGTATGTCTCTGGTCCCGGCTGGCTGGTGTGTGAGCTTGAAGGTGGCTCCGGGGCAGCCTTTGCCACCACAATAGGCAGGACTTTTTTTCAGGGCCTATGTTTACTTTCTACCCCTTGCTTTGTTCTCCCCCAAGGTTCCTCTAAGGACTGGGATGGATTCAGCTCCGGCTTCCCCAGGGTTCTCCCACCAGGAGTGATCACCTCTGGTGAGTAATGCCCATCTGCACCTTTAACTGTGATTGCCCAGGAGTTGGTTTCCACTCTGCACTGCAGCCTCTCGCAGATCTTCCTTGCAGCTCCGTGACTCATCTCTTTCTGGATCCTCTGCATCCAAGAAGCAGCATTTGGGGAATGATAGTAAATCTTGTGAAAGCAAGATTTGATGTTAGTGCTTACTCATATCTCTTCAAAGCAGAGTTCTGTACATAAATGCTAACGGAGGCAGTGGCAATGAGTAGTGAAGCAAAGCATATTAAGTGACATGGTAATCTTTGCTAGTGAACAGTAGAGCTATTCAAAAGCTGAAATGCTTTAAGGAAGAAGCTGGATTGTAAAAGATCCTTTCCATACTTGCATTAAAAAAAATAAATAAATAATAATAAAAAAAAAGCTTTTGAGAGTGGGAATCTTTAGAAAAAAATCATTTTATTTATACCTCTTGTGAATATTTGTGTCTTCCCGTACCTTAGCTCTGAAAGCTGTGAGGCCTACCTCATGTCCCTGTCTTTCTTTTTCTGCACAGTATTTAATGGGKTTTTTTTTGCATTCAGATTTGATTATTCTCTCTTGCCTACGCATTCAGACATTTAGCCACAAGTAGGACCGGTCACATTGTGCCATGGCCAAACATATCTCYATGGGATGCTGAGTACTGCTTGCTTTTTCTCCCTACATACTGACATCCTTTGCCTCTGATGATACACATGGTTCCTCCACACAATATCTCTCTATAAAAGCTGCTCCAGGTAAAAACCTGCGAGAGGAAAAAAAAGCCCTCGGAAAATATTTGTGCCATGGCACAATTTACTAATTTAAATTGTTTTAAGAAAGRCCCTGGTGATTAACCCAGTATTCCTTATCTGTCTGCCAAACTCTGACAACTCCCTCTGGTTCTGACAACTCCCTCCAGTAATACTCAAATACCCACCTCCCCCACCACTTAGTTCCCTGCAAGCCTCTCTAAGGCACTAAGTGCAGGCACTTAGCACTAAGGCATTTGGCAGCTTTTAGCCTCTTTCTGATGTACCCAGGGCTTCAGCAGTGCTTCCATTCAGGGACCTTTTCATCCAGCAATTGTTAGTGGTCTCTACCTCTTCTGTGAGCTGGTGGATCACCAAGTGCTCTACTCTRGAGTATACAGTGGAAGTTAAAGGCCATAAAAGACATATTTAAACCATGGAAGTTCATGCATTTTCAGTTTCCTYAGCTGTGTGCGGAAACAAACACCTCAAAAATCAGAAAAGAAGTGGAGTGACACAAGTTCTCTACCATAAAAACAAAGCAACAAAAATGGCTAGAGCCAGAAGGCTGCCATAGAACATGGGAAAACAGGACAAGGGGAGAGGAGTTGGAGAAAGCAGGGACAAGCAAAAGCGGCAGCCTGCAGAAAAAGAGGAAACGTCCTCTCTGTCCCCCTGGAATCTGCTGTGTGAGCAGCCAACAGGAAGATGGTGTTAGAGGCACATCTGTTTCCAACCGCCCTTCTTGGCAGCATTGCAGACCGTGGCATTCAACAACTGCACTCTGATCCATGGAGCTTCTTCAGCTCCCCTCCGCCTCACTGTGTTTTATCCTTCCAATGTGCTTAGGTACCCAGTTGCAGTATTTTTTCACGAGGAGTCATTGCAGTCAGGCAGGTGACTCAGTGCTCCCCTGGCAAAGCAGGAAGCTCGCTCAGTGGAGAGGTTTGGGCTTGGAGGAAGCAGAGCTTGCTAAAGGTAACAGATTCTTTCACACTCGCAAAGAGCTACTTCTGCAGAAACCAGGCTCTGTTCTGAGTAGGCTGGTGGATAGTGGTGGTGTTGGACAGCACGGAGAAGTGTGAATGAGAGTTTAGACTGATTTAATGTGGTTTATAGCCAGGAGGCTACTGTTTCACTTAAACACAGATCCAAGGATCCTTACCAAATTCAATAAATGGTTCAGAATTTTCTGTGCACTAAATAAAAGCAGAATTTGTTAATTTGTTTCATCCAAATGTTTTTTCTTTTTTTTTTTTTTAAGAGATAAGTAGCACTAAAGATCCTGAAGTGCTAAATGTTTTTACTTCAAGATGGTGAATCTWGCCCTCTCTACTAGAAGAAATAAAATGCAGTATATCAAATGCAGTAACTGCAGATTAAATTTTGATAGCTCATTTATTGCAAGTAAAGATATGATGCAAAATAATTAACAAAATGGTCAAGGTCGTGAGTTTTGATGAGTTCTGCATGTAGATCAGTATCCTGTCTCATGGGAGAAATCTAGGAATTCTCCCACTCATTTGCGTTTTATCCCTTTAAACACCCGTTAAATAATAAAGAAATAGCGGCTAGATATTATACAAGATCTGGTCTAGGTTTTCGCTATTTTTAAATTTTTAATACAATTGAATTTCAGTGCTGCATGGTAGCAATCTTTCCTCTAGATGGTGCCCCATTACCAAGAGTGCCCTGCAATATTATCCCATGCGAAAGGCTGTTGAGGAACAGGCAGGACGGAGCTCTCCTTTGTTTCCAAATTCTCTCTCGGTAGTTCATCTAAGTTCACGGATTACTTGCTTTGTGTGATGTTAATGCAGTGTTTCCTCCGTTGCAAGTCTGGAAATCCGTTCACT